AAAGTCTTATTAGTTAATTACGAATTAAGATTACTAAATATAATGCGGTACTACCCCGTTTTTTATATTTTACTTTTTAAATTAGTACTTAGAGGTTCGTATATAGAAGATTATATTATTATCGAACTAAACTAATTAGAATACGAAGTTAAACGAATTATTAACTATAGAATTAAGAACGAAATACGAGAATTCCTTATTAAATAAAAGGGTTATAGATATAAAAAAAATACGTAGGAACTTATTACGAATTTCTAATATTTTTAAGAATTCTTATAAGACTATTATAATACTTAGGAACGTCGGTACCTAATACTAACGGCCCTAGGGAAGCGAACTCGTTACTAATTTTAAAAAAAGTCTAGTTAATATTATTAAAAATACTTATTACTTATAAATCGCTTACTACTTATTATTTATAAGTATTTAATATAAAAAGAATACGATCCTCTTTTTTTAACTTTTATATACTTCGAGTAAAGGTCTTAATATACTATTTTTTTACTTTTTTTTAAATAGTCCGAATCCGGGCTAAATAACTAACTATTTTTATAATCTCGGACTAAATCTAAGTAAGTTTTATATAAAGATTAAATAAAGTATTACTAGCCTCCTTTTTTTTCTTTTCTAGCTCTTAATACTAGTTACTTAGCCTCTTTATTACGAGAATATTAATAACTATAAGTAAAGGAGCTATAATAATACTTATAGCTCGACGTAATAATAAGATTATTATAAGGACGCTTTAAATTTTTATAATTTTAATAAGTTTTCGACCCGTTAATTATATAATACGCGCGTTTTATATAGAAATATTAAGTATAAAGTATTACGTCGTTAGAACTAAAGTAATTAAATACGTCGTTATAAACTAAATAAAACTTAGAAATAGAGTTACTTAATAAACGTTTTTTAATACGACCTAATATTGTATTAATATATTTTAAAAAAATATACTTAACGAATCCCTAACCTAAGAATAAATAACCTATTTATAAGTTTACGGGACTAGATTTTTAAAAAGGAGACTTAATATTACGACTTAATATATATAGCTAAGACTAGGGCCCGCCCCATAGGCTTATAACGGCTATAATATATTATATATATAGGAGTATAGGAATATAAAGTAACTCTTATAAAATAGAAAAACTATAAAATAAGTTACGTAATAATAAGAAATAGGAAGGTCTATATATTAATAATACGGACCCCGTCCTTTTAAAATATAGAGCCCGTATATTTAAAATACGGGGCCCGTTAAGTAAATATATAAATAAAAAATATATTTAAAAATAAGACTTATATATAATATAAACTTAAGCTGGGCTTAAAAATAGACTTTTTATAGCTTTTTTAATAATTAACTTAGTATTAGATCTTATAATCGCTTTTAGCTATTTTTACTAAGAACCCCTCTTAATAAAATTATAATTAATTACTAAAGCCTTACTTACCTTATAACTTATAAATATAGCTTTAAAAAAGTTATCTACGACTATAATACTATTATTAGCTTCGTAGCCCTAACTTTTATTAATATACTTTATTATAACTAGCTAGCTATAATAAAAGGTTAATAACTAGCCTTATTTAATAATATAAATAAAGCTATTTATAATAAGAAACGTAGGGTTCTTAAACGAACTTACTACCCTATTTACTTTTATAATAAAACCCTTTTTTAAGTCCGTTATTTTTTTAAACCGTAGTTTTTTATTATATTTAAAATAATAAATCCTCCTCCCCTTTTTTAAATAAAACCCTAAATCTATTAATCCTTAGTAATTTAAAGCTAATAATAAACGCTCTTTTTAATCGAGTTAATATTTTTATTAAGGTTAATAAGTTTAGTATTATAAAATAGTATAAATATATATTTTAAATAGGTCGGCTTATATAATACTTATTTTAATATAATCGATTTAATAAGCCCGGTTTTTTAAAAAGTATAAGTATTAAATAATATAGGTTTTAAAAATACGGTTATTAATAATAAGTAATTATAGAAGTATAAGAGGAGGGTAAGTAGTTATTATATTATTACTTAGACCCTTAGTATAATTAATATAATTACGGCCCTAGCTTTGGAGTATTTATATACCCTTTTTATTATAAGCTTACTTAGCTAATTAAGGATATTATTAAAATTATAAGCCGATAGGTTAGGATTTAGGTACGTAACGTATACGCTATTATTTAAAAGTAATTCCTAGAGGCCTTATTTACTTAGTAAGATATTTATAATACTAAAGCCCGTATTAATTAAGAAAAATTAAACGGATATTTATTAATAACGGCGCTAATTAAGCTATTTAATAAATAAGGGATTTTATATATTATTAAATAAGCGGCTAATAAGCTTAATTACTTAGTTAGGCTTATTTAGACTTTTCTTTACTATTTTTAAATATAAAAACGGTTCCTTAAAGTAATTAACTTTAATAATATATATAATACTAATCACTTTAAGCTCTCTTTTTTTTAGGTTACTAAGTAGACCTATTTTAAGTCTATTTATAATATAGTATTTAGTCTTATTAATAATAAAAGATTAGAAAGGTTTTAGTTCTTTTTAATAAGTATTTATTAACTAATTAAGTAATACTTAATCCGCTAGCCTTTTATTATTATTACTAATTATAATAAGTAAATAAAGACTATACTTAATAAGTAGTTTCCTAAAGTTTAGTAATAACTCTATATTTATTATATTAACTTTAATATTATACTTAAGGCTAAATAAAAATAGATTAAGGACCCTAGTTATAATAATAATAATAATAGGTCTAACGATAATAATTATTAATTAATTATATAAATAATAGCCGAGCTTAGTAATAAAGACCGCGCCTATATTAATATAATAATAAATTAAGCTATTTTATATACTTATTACGGGGTATTAATTATATAAAAGTTTATTATTTTTATTAAAACGGAGTATATTTTTAAAAAAGCCTAGACTAAGCTCTATAAAAAGTTTAATAACTAACGCTTAATTTTCTAATACTTCTACGTAATATATTTATTTTTAAGAGTATAATAGGCCCGTTACTTTATTTAAAAATATTAGAACTTTAGTACTTACGTTACTTTTAGTACTAAGTTAAGTAATAATAATATTAAGGGTTATTTTTTAAATAGTCTTAGTTATTTATAATAGCTTATTAATATTATATAAAATATAATTAGCGATTAAGAGCTATGTTTTTATTAAGCTTATATAAAGGACGAGGTATTTATAAACTAGGAGTATATAAGTACTCGCTTTAAATACCTAAGCGAACTTTAAATAATACTTTTTTTAAAATATCTTATTTTAATTAGGATATAAGGCCGGCTTATAAAAAAAGTAATATTATTTAATAAAAAGCTATTCCTAAACTCCCTCGGATTTTATAATTTAAACTATACTATTTTAATTAAGCTAAGTATCTTATATTATTATAAGATCTATTTTAAAATATTAGATTTAACTATTTTTAATAAATAAAAAGTATACCCTTAGTAGCGTTATAAAAAACGTTTTTTTTAAATTTATATTATTAAATTTTTAATTTTAAAATTACTATATCTTTTTATAATAAGCTAAAGAATATAGTATAACTTATTTTATTATAATTAGTTTTATTTAAAAAAGGTTAATTAGTTAATTATACTCGTATTATTTATAATAATTAAAGTATAAGTAATAAAAAGCGGGGCCGCTTATTTAAAAATAAAAATAAATTAATACTAACTAGGCTTATAAAAAAATAAATTAGTTAAATTAAAACTAAATATTAAGCTTATTTTAGTAATAAATAAGGAGCTAGTTTAGCGTTCTTAATAAGAGGAGAATAATAAGGAATTATATAAATAAACGGCTAATATAGCTTAGTATTTAAAAAAAACGGAGCTAATAAAAAGTAGTTTATAATAATAATAAATTATTATAACTACGTTAAAAAAGGTAGTTAAGCGGACGTTATTATAATTTACTTTTTATATATTTTAAATATATAATAAAAAAAAGCCTTACTTATTTAAAATTTATAAATTTTAAATAGGTAATATAGCGGTTCTAAACGAATACGTAGGTTATAGTAGTATTCTTATTTTTAAAAATCTTAAACTAGAGCTTAGGTAAGAGAAAATAATAAGAATAGTTATATTAATATAGTTACCCTTACTACTTTTATAAAGAGGTACTATTTTTTTAAACTAATTAAAAAGTAGAATAGCGACGCTAGTATAAAGTATATACCTCTATATTAATTCTATATACCTCTCTATTAATTACCTTATTAAAATAATAAGAGTATATACTAATACTATATATTAATATTATATAAACGATACTAAGAATTACTTAAATAGTTAATAAAAGTAGAATATAAAGATAAATAAATAATAAATTCGGGATATACTTAATAATAAGCCGCTAATAAATTAATAATTAATATACAGATCGTATTTTAAAAAAACTTTTATAAAATAGAGCCCGTATAAAGGACTTTATAAGCTTTAGTTTTATAATATACTTATATTTATATTATAGCCTTATTATTTAAGTATTTATAGCCTAATCTCTTATACTTTTATAAAATAAAAGAATTATAAAATAAGTTATATAATAAAAAAAAATTTAAATTCTTTTTATATATTAAAAATACGGATCCTATTTTTTAAAAATATAAGCTCTATATATTTAAAATATAGAGCTCTTTAAAATAATGTATAAATAAAAAATACATTTAAAAATAAAATTTATATATAATATAAACTTAAGCCGGGCTTTAAAATAAATCTTTTATAACTTTTTTAGTAATTAACTTAGTATTTAATTTTATAATTATTTTTAGCTATTTTTATTAAGAACTCTTTTAATAGGATTATAATTAATTACTAAAACCCTATGATTTATAATATATAGCTTTTTTTAAAGCTATTATAATTATAATATTATTTAGTATTTTGTAGCTTTAACTTTTATTAATATACTTTATTACGACTAGCTAGCTATAATTAGTATATATTTTTATATAAATTCTATATACCTCTCTATTAATTATTTTCTTTATTATAATAGTATTTATAACTTTATTTATTATATTTAAGAGGGCGATCGGTTTATATATATTAAGTACTATATAATTATTTTTATTTAGTTTTTTAAGTATTACTACAATAGATTTTTTAAAATATTATAAATATTATTCTTATTAAAGGCTCTAATTAAATATATAAATAAAATATAATATAAATTATAGTTTTATTATTTAAAATGTTAAGTTAGTAATATTATTGGGGCCCGGGGCTTTTAGTAATATTGCTTTTTAAATAGCGTTTTTTATTTCGTTTTTTGATATTAATAATAGGGTAATTTAGTTATTATACAATACGTTATTAATATTTTTTAGATTTACGTTAGGTAATAAAAAAAAGGCTTTTTTAAAAAAGTATAGCTTTTGTTTTAAGTATTATAGCGATTTAAAACGTATAAAAGTTTTGAATTTTTAATATAATAGTTAGTAACTAGCTCTCTTTATCCTGGGCTTAATTAGCGATTTTTTATAATAATCTAAGTAAATTAGCTGCCATTTCTATTACTTTGCGATATACTTATTAAAGAGCTTTCTTGATAATGCGGCCTTTTTTATTGCGTGCCTCGTAGCCAAGAGCCTCCCCCGGCTCGTTGACCTGGGACTCAGGACTGTGCACCGGCGCTGAGTCCGAGATTTTCAGGTTCGTAGTAAGGTGGGCAGGGATACAAGGCTTGGCGAAGGGTGACTGCTATAGCTTCGGATGTTGAAACTCTTGTTGACGACTTGACGATATCGTCAATGTAAACCTGCAACACGATCGTTCGTGAGCGTGTAGACTGGTAGCTTTGAGTAGCGACTATCAAGAGGCAGAATTGTTCAATGGAATGTGAAAACAAGCAGTGTCTTGACATTTGTTCTTGAACTGTTTTGAACAACTACAATTCTATACTCCTGTCGCTTATGAAGGCCAATGGCCATTGAATCAACTCCTTCCACTCCGGATCCAGGTCCGCCACTATCGCCCGCGCGCAGTTAATGCCCCACCCCTGCATGAACCACGTCGTTGACTCCGTCGAGCGGACAACGACGGAGTAGTATGCTAGTAGTACTAGAGCCGTAGGCTCGCGGTTCCGTAGCAGCTGGAGGTACTCCTCGGTCAGGTTAATGGGCCACGTCACGGCCACACGCAGCTCCGGGGATACCGTCGTCTGGATAGCGTACGTAATCCAGCCTAAGAAGACGTCTATCTCCTTATTAACGACCTTTTGCGTTGCCTCGTTAGCGTTTGTAGTACGGAGGGTAGTCTGGTAAGTCTTGAGGTGGCGCGCAACAGCCTCGAGTAGTGGCGTCGACGTCGGGGTATTAAGCTCCGAGAAGAAGTTTGCAAAGGGCCCGGTCTGGATGATGGGCTGGGAGGAGGAGAGGATGTGGCTCATGCCCCTGACGAGGAGGAAGACGTCGAGGACGTCGTCCACGGTCGGACCCTCCGTGTTGCCGGGCCCTCTCTGGTACGGAAATGTGGAATACGCGTTCACGAGGAGCAGCGTCGAGCCCGCGAAGAGGGCGTGGCAGTTCTCGGCCGTTATTTGTACGAGCAGCTCGCGCATTCCCGCGATGGCGTCGCTCTGGTGCTGGGACGCGTGCAGGGCATAGGACTCGCGCTGCTCCGGGTGGAGGTAGGCGAGATGTAGTGCGGCGAGGGCGAGAATCTCGTGCATGAGGAAAATATACGTTAGGCCGAGCTTGGGCACCTCGAACTGCCAGATGTGACCCACGTTGCAAGACCTGGGCATCGTAAGGTAGGTAGCCGTGGAGTACTGGTGCATCAGCTCGAGATCCGTGATCCACTTGCTCATATAAAGCGGCTCTACGGGCTCGGTCGAGAACTTGATAAAGTACGGGAACGGATCAGGGCTCGAGGCGGCGATGGACGAGCCAGGATCGCTGATGAAGTCCGCCGGGAGGTTGATGGTGGACTCGAGCAGGCTCGGGGGCGTCAGGGAGTGGTCTATCGGGCTGATAGATGGCGTCTGGGTCTTCGCTCGGCTGCCGCTGGACCCCTTCCGTGATGAGCTCCTCCGTTGGATGCTCGGTACCCTGGAGACGCCGGGGTGAGAGTGAGAGTGAGATGTTGGCTCCCAGCTCATGTTGTCACCGGAGCCTGATTGGCTATCTGCGGAGCTCTCGAGGAGACTGCATAGTGTGTTGTGTCTGATACAGGCGCCACAGGGCTTGTTCTCATCGCACTGGGTTGGAAGATATGTCAGCCAGCCGTTGATTGTGTACGCGGGTGTGTTGATACGAGATATAGTCAGTGGCTAGAATGAGAGGGTAATGAGTGTGGATGAAGGGCGGTATGTACTTTTACACGACGCTGCTTACACCTTGTACAGCCACCGCGAGACTTTTTGTACCCTAAACGCGGCATCTTGCAGCAGCAGCAGCCTTGTCCGTCTCTCTCCGAGCCTGAGCAGCCGTCCTAGATTGGGCAAAGGGTCGCGCAGCTCAACTCCGTCACTCCCCCCCCGAACCTCTCGCTTTTCCGTGAAGGGATGAGGGTGGGCAGGCTGGACCCCGGAAGACGGGCGGCGAACGAATGCCCTCCTCTGCTCTGTTGGACGAGAAGGAAACAAACACCTCGCTCCGTGACGTGACACCTCGGGCCCCCTTGCTACGGCAAGCCACTTGAGCCCGCGTTACAGTGAAGAAGTCGCCAATCGACGAATCGGCGGGTACCCAGTACGCGAGATGTCAGCAGGATCTTTCCGCGGCGCGATGCGCAGTTGCTGTACGTTATGGCAGCTTGGGCTGGGTTTGGCGGACAGGTGAATGGGGAAGCGAGCAGGTTGAGGAGACCGAAAGCGAATATGTGGGGGTGAAAGGATGGATGGATGGATTGTTGGATGGTGGATGGGCAGCTATGCAAATAGAATGGTTGGGAAGAGGAGAGACACAAAGTCGGGGGAGTCGAGTGCCGAGGCCGGAGATGGTCTGGGTGTTTCTGCAGCAGCTCGGCTGAGGTATCGGAATGGATGTATGTATGTGTGCGTGTGTTTGTAAAGTAGTGTGTGTAGTGTCTGAGTGGTGTTCGAAGTAGTGTACTAGGAGTGTGTACTGGTTGTGTAGTGTACAGACTGGAGTCTGGTAGTGGCCGGATGTGGTGACGATGAGCCTGTCTGTGGTCGGGCCGGAAACTCTTTTGCAGATAGGGTCGTCACGTCTTGGCCCGGTCTGGTCTGTTCTGGGACGAGATCGGGGATAAAGGTAGAGTCTGGGGGGGGGGGGGTCGGTCTTGATGGGGCGTTCAAAGCGGCAGCAGAAGCGCGGTGCAAGCCGTTGGAGTTATATCGTGAGAGTGGTGAGCGACGTTGACCGGGAAGACGGTTCTTGGGAGTTGGGATCTCGGAGTGACTGGGAAGTGCGTCAAGTCTGCCCCGTCCCGCGATGGGCTGGGTTTGGGCTGGGCAGGGCCGTGGCGGGATATTGGGAGAGGATAAAATGCGGACGGGAATGCCAGGCCCAAAAACCAAACTGCGCCTTGCGGCTGTGACGAGTCAAGCCAGGACAAGCCGAAGCACGGGCGCGTGCGTCAGAAACACCACATCGATATAGCGGCCGAGGGACGGATATGGAATGGCGTCTGGTATATACGTAGAGAATAAAGTCCTGGGCCTGGTCGAGGGTAAGGGTGAAACGGAGGCACGTAGGAACTCGCCTTGTTCCTATTGGAGCTTAGCACAGCAGAGTTAAGTTAGCTTCTCCTCATCAAGGACTGGTAGTAAGACACTACCCACACAACGGATCACCTAATTTAAATAATTTTTTCCCTCTTTTAACACTACCACTACTATAATATATAAGTAAGAAATAATTAAAAAAATTATAAAGATTATATTAAAATTATTAATAATTTCGCTATACTTAAATATATTAAAGAATATATTAAAAATATATAAATTAATATTAGTTTTAATAAGTTAATTTAAAAGGCTATTATAAATTAAGAAATTCTTTATATTATTTTTTTAAGCTAGTTATAAAGTATAATAATAATTAAAAAAGTTAAAAGAGAATTATTAAAAGCTTAATAAATACTATAAATAATCCTTACTTATTAAGTAATTTTATAAGGCTATTTAAGGTTCGCTCTAACTTATATAGTAGTTTTTTTTTAGCTTTATAGGCGCAAAAAATCGACCTTAACGGGATTATGTTTTTAAGGGAAATTATACGATATAATATACTTTTTAACTATATAATACGCGCAATATGCCCTAAGTACGCGCTTAACGTAATATAATAATTTCGATACGAAAACCGCTATATAATTCGGGATAAGTAAGCTACCCTATTATTTATTAATAATAGGCTAAGTAATATACTTACGTAGCGGCGCTAGTTAAAAAAGTTAACAGTAGAGGTCGGTTATAAAAGTTAAAAGTAGCCCTTAACTATAGAGGTTCTAAACTTTAATAATAATATAGAGGTTTTTAAAGAAAAGGCTAAAAGGGCTAATATTTAGCTACTTTACTATACTAAAACTCGTAAAAAAAAAATTATTTTTATTATTTCTAATATTACCTAAAGCTCTATTTAAACTAAATAAATTTATTAAATAAACTTATTAAATAAACTTATTAATATATAAACTATTACTCTCTTAGTATATAGTTAGTAATTAGCGGGCTAAGATTAAAAATACTCCTCGATAGTATTACGACCTAATATATATAACTAAGACTAGGGCCTGCCCCGTAGGCCTACGGCGGCTATAATACGCTATATATATATAAAGACGCTAATATAAGAGTCACCCTAATAGAACAAAAGAACTATAAATAAAGTTATATAATAATAAGAAGGACCGATAGATAATAAGCGGTTTATAAATAGGACCGATAAGATAAAGGCGGTTTACCTTATAAGACCGATATCGTAATATCGGTCCTAATTATAAAAGAACTATTTAAATAATATACGGGACTTATATATAATATAGACTTAAGCCGGGCTTAAAAATAAACTTCTTATAGCTTTTTTAGTAATTAACTTAGTATTAGATCTTATAATCGCTTTTAGCTATTTTTATTAAAAACCCCTTTTAATAAGACTACGATTAATTACCGAAGCCTTATTTACTTTATGACTTATAAATATAGTTTTAAAGAAGCTATTTATAATTATGATACTATTTACTTAGTATTCGTAACTTTAACTTTTATTAATATATTTACTATGACTAGCTAGCTATAACACTTTAATTACTCTTATTTAGTAAGTTTACTCTATAAAAAACTAACTAAATAATACGAATATATTGACTATTAGTAATAATAGCACTGCGCGGCCTATTTAGGTAGCTATACTTATTATATAATAGCTATATAATATAATACTTAAACTTAAGAATAAGAATAAGTAGCTCTATACTTAATTTATAATACCCTAACTACTTTCGGTACTTAGAGCTAAGTACCCTAAATTAGAACCCTACGACGGGTCCCTAGATACTCTCTAAAGATTCCTTATTTAAACTAGAGCTTATTTATGCTACTATAAATCTTTTTTTATTGCTAAAGCGAATAAGGTTTATTATATAGTATTCTTTTTTAAAAAAGACGCCCTTACCTAGTTTAAACCCTTTATAAGAGATTATTTTAAGAATAAACGTAAGATCTAAGAAATAAATATTAAAAAGATCTTTAATAACTATAATAAGTTCGAAAAAAAATTTAAAAAAACCTTTAGTAACCCTAATAAAGAACGAATTACCGAGCGAAAGCTTATAACCCTTATTTAAAAGGGGTTAGTTAGTAAGTACGTATCTAAATTTAGGTAAATTATTTCTAAATTTAATTAGGGTAATAAGGTATTTATAATAGCCTTTTATCGTAACTTAAAAAAAAAGGTTAAGGATAACCTCTCTTAATAAGAACGACTAGATAAGCTTTATAATTATATCGATATAATAGTTAAGATCGATAATCGACTCTATAAACGACGCCTTAAATAAAAAGGATAGAATACTTAAAATAACTAAGCTAAACTTAATAATAAATATAAGTATAAACTAACGACTACTATAATAGGGTATTATAGTAGATTAATAGACCTTAGCGTTATTAAAAGGGAATAACCTCGTTAGAAGAAGGACTTTAAGTACTATAATTACGATAAACCGGGATATATAGCTAGAAACTATTAATAACCTAAGTATATTTAATACTAACCTATTTTAAAAAAACGAGCTAATATTATAAATAAAGAGGTCCCTTATAAATAACTCTTATAAATAGCTTATTACGACGATAACTATTTTACTTATTAAGATAGTAAAGAATAAATAGGATAGTACCCTAAATAACTTAAGAATATAGGACGATCCGGATACGATATTATACTATTTATTAGGACCTTAGTAATAGTAATAAAAAAAGCAAAAATACCCGCCTACCGACCCTATACTCTTAAAAAAAATAATATCGAATATATTACTACGCTCTCTTAGATTTATAAAAATATAAAAAAAAAAGCTAAAATAAACCCCGTTATAAAAGATATATTTTACTTCCTCGAAGGACGAATTAAGCAAAGACTCCTAGCTAATATAAAAGAGCAACTCCTTAAATTTAAAAAAAAAAGACCCGATATAAAAGAAATTATAAGTAGCCTCGTTTATATAGTACGATAAAACTATATAAACTAAAAATAATCTACTAAGTCTAAGGAAGAACTCGATTCGGACGAAATCCTAACTAAGTCTATCTATATAATACGACGAGTAAACGGTAACAAAAAATTCATTCATAAAATTAAAAAATAACTCGAAAACCTCTTATATAAAAATAAAATCGAAATAATTAAAAAACCGACTCTTAATTTCGGAGTTATAAAAAAAAAAAAATTAACTTTAACCTTAAGAAAGAAAATATTAAAATAAGAACTAGTTCTTTCTATTTTAATAAAGCAGAATTACCTTATAATTCGGATAAACCTTATAACGTTACCTAACGACGTATTTAAATAAAAATCGATTATAAGGTACTACTTAGCGTTAACGATACTAGCTCTAAAAAGGACGACGACGAATTATAATATAAATATATTTATTTATTTAAAGATAACTAAACCGTTTAGTTCTATAAAACTAGAGAATATAAAAAGATCGTAATAACCCCCTATATAAATAAAAACTACTCTCTATTCGACCCTAAAGATCCCTTTTATAAAGAATTATTTTAAGTAGAATATCTAAATAATAAATACCTCTAGTACCTCGTATATAAATAAAATAGCCGTTTTTATTTACGAAGACGTAATAACAAACCTATTAAAAATATCTATATAAAAGACTAGCTACTTAGTTAGATACTACTAAGCTTTAATAATAATAATAAAATAATATTTAGCCCAGACCCTAGCTTTCTTATAAAGTACCTTAATAATAAGTATATAGAATAAGAAAATTATAAATACGATTAATACTAAATTTACTATATTAAAAAGGCTAAAGTATAAAGAGAGTACTAAGAGAGATATAAATAAAAGAACTATTTAAAGAAATAAATAATAAAAAACTAAAAAAGCTAATTATAAAAGAATAATAAAAAGTAAAAATAAAAAAAAAGTTTTTATATATAACTAAATAATATAACGATATATACTTACGAGTTAACTTCGATATTTATAGACGAGGACTAAATACTATTATTAATAGCGGCATATAAAAAACTTATATTTTACTAAAAATAGTAAATAAACTTAATTTATTATAGGTATAAAAGGATAACTTATATTAACTATAAATAGTAAAAAAAGAACGAGTTAATTATAATTATAAATATATTAATTAAGAAACCGTATACCTCTTAATATATATTAATAACTAATAAGAATAACTATAATATAATATTATAGAGATCGGAAATATTAATATTATCCTAAAAATCTCGTAATTACGAAAGTATAACTTATAAATAAATTAGATTACTAACTAAGTCTTCTAAGAAAATTTAATTACTAAATAACTTAAAAAGAAAAAGGGTTTAAACGGATTTTTAATAATTCCTAAAAAACGAGAATAAATACGATATATAGCTTTTATTAAAATAGTAAAAAGCTTTAAGAAGTTCGTATACGGTACCGATAATTAAGGATTATAACGACTCTAAACTATACCCGAGGAATACTAGATATATATAAAACTATTTATAAAACCTAAAAAAATAGGATTACTAAAATATAGTAACTAGGATATAGAAATCGAACTTAAAAAAAGAATATAACCTAAGTTCTATCCGATATACTTAATAAACTAAGAAGAATAGGAATATCTTAATAAATATATCGATAAGAAGCTTAAAAAGGGATATATTTAACTATCGAATTCTCTTATAAGATTCCCCTTATTCTTTATACTAAAAAAGGGCAGAAAATTAAAACTTATTATTAACTATAAAAAACTTAACGAAATTACAAAAAAAAATTACTATCCCTTACTACTTATTACCGAGCTTAGAAACCTATTTTACGGAGCTAACTAGTTTATTATTATAGATCTTAAAGAAATATTTAATTAGATTTAAATTAAAAAAGGAGACGAGTAAAAAATAGTATTCCGAACTCGTAAAGGACTCTTTAAGTACCTTATTATACCTTTCGGACTTACTAATACTCCGGTAACTTTTTAAACGATAATTAACTACGTATTCTAGGAGTATATTAATATTTTTATTATTATTTATATTAATAATATCCTCATCTTCTCCCCTAATCTCGAAATATATAAAAAGCATATTTATATAGTATTTTAAAAACTTTAAAACGCTAAGCTATATACTAAACTTTCTAAGTATAAGTTCTATATATAAAAAGTAGATTTCTTAAGATATATTATTATACTAGGACAAATTTATATATAAGTATTAAAAATAAAAATAGTTAGGGACTAGCTTATACTATAGAACGTTAAGGACGTATAAAGATTCTTAGGATTTATTAACTTCTATTAACGATTCCTTAAGGACTATACTAATATAGTTAGACCTCTTAATAACCTAATATAAAAAGATACCCTATTTATTTAAGACCTTAAGTATAAAGAAGTATTTATTAAAGTTAAGAACATAGTCGTCTCTGAACTAGTTACTATAATCCCGGACCCCTAAAAACCTTTTGAAGTCGAGATTAATACTTTAAACTTCGCTATAAGAGTAGTTTTAAAATAATAAAATAAATAAAAAAAGCTTTACCTATATTACTTTTATTTTAAAATATTTTACGGAATAAAATTAAATTAGTAAATCTATAATAAGGAACTAATAATAATTATCGAAGTATTTTAAGAATAGAAACTATAGTTATTTAGAACTAAGTATAAAGTAACGGTCTATATAGACTATAAGAATTTCGTAAATTTTATAATAAATAAAAATCTAAATAAACGATAGGTTAAATAAAGCGAATTCCTATTTAAATATAACTTCTAAATTATTTATTAAAAAGGCTTAGAAAATAGTAAAATAGACGTTCTTAGTAAAAGACCCGATTATAAAGTCGTAGTCCCTAAAGAAATATAAGTTATTCTTAAGTAAGAGAAGGATAGTAGCCTTATACTAACTACGAAGTATCTTATAATAACTAAAAAGATTAATACTAACCCGACTAAAAAAATAACCCCTAAACTTATTATAAAAATTTATAATATACTAGTATACGGTTACTAAGGAATTACTAAAACGTAAAAACGGATTCGCTAGTACTATAATAAATCCGCTATACGTACTAAAATTATAGAAGTAATTAAGGATTGCGTAACTTATAAAAAAAATAAGAATAGCTTATATAAGCCTTATAATAAGTTATAACTATTATAACTACTAATAAAAGCATAGTAATTTATTATATAAGATTTTATTATTAAACTATTAAAGTTTAAGGAACTATTTATTAAAATATAATACGATAGTATCTTAATTATAATTAACTGACTTACTAAGTTCGTATATTTTATTTCCTATAAAAAATCAAATATTACAAAAGACTTAGTATATATATTTACTAAGGTTATACTTTCGAACTACGGTTTATTAAAAAAAATTATTTTTAATAAAAATAAACTATTTATTTTAAAATTTTAAAAATCTCTAATTTCGTAACTTAATATAAACTATAAACTATTAATATTATTTTATTTACAAACCGATAAATAAATAAAAAGGATTAACTAAATCCTTAAAATATACCTTCGTTATTATATAAACTATAACTAAGATAATTAAGTAGTACTCTTACTAATAGCCTAGTTTATATATAATAGCGTAGTTAGTAAAAGTATAAGAGAATCCCCGTTTTACTTTAATTACGGATTCTAATTAATAATATATAGAGAAGTATAATAAGGACTATAAGCTATAAAAGCTATAGTAGATATAAGTAAACTTAAAGAGATCTATAAATAAGCTTTACTAAACCTTAAGTTTATATAATAGTATATAAAAAAGAACGCAGATAGATTAAAAATTAAAGGACTATCTTTAAAAAAGGGGGATAATACCTATTTCTTTTATTATAATATTAAAACAAAATAGCTAAGTAATAAATTAGACTATAAAAAACTTAAACTTTTTAAAATTATTAAGAAAGTCTTACTAATTAATTACGAATTAAAACTACTAAATATAATATAATACTATCCCGTCTTCTATATCTTACTACTCGAGCCCGTACTAAGAAGTTCGTATATAAAAGATTATATTATTATTAAACTAAATTAATTAGAATATAAAATTAAGTAAATTATTAACTATAGAGTTAGAAATAGAATATAAGAATTCCTTATTAAATAAAAAGGCTATAAATACGAAGAAAATATATAAGAACCTATTATAAACCTCTAGAACTCTTAATAACTTCTTAAGGACTACTAGAGAACGATACTAACGGGCCTAGGGACGCGAACTCGTTACTAATCCTAAAAATAGACTAGTCTATATTATTAAGAACTTATATAAACTATAACTCTTTAACTATACTACGCTTATAAGTATTTAACGCAAACTCTAAAGTATTAGACTTATTTACCTCTTATATTCCCTAATAGAAGGTCTTAGCTTAACGCTTACGTACTAGCTTCTAAGTTTTCTAAATATAAGATAAACGACTAGTAATAGTAGTTATTAACGATTAAAAACGAGCTAACTCCTTATAAAGCCTTAGAAGCTCCTTATCTACCTTCTCCTCTTTTTTATCCTACTCTCTTTATTAAGTATTAAGTTTTTAAACTATAAAGAACGTTAGGATAATATAAAAATAAGAAGAAAAATAAACTTACGAGTTAAAACTATTAATACCCCGTCGCAAGGCTTTTTTGCTTTAATATAGGTTCGATAATAAGAAAAACCTTCCCTAAACCGATACGGAACCTTAGTACGAAAATAACGAGTATAAGGTATATCGGTAATTACTAAACAAGCTTCGATAAATTCTAAAAGCGCAAGGTGCTTACGATCCTTTATCTCTATTTTTCTAAATTTCGTTTTTAAACTTAATTTTTTTACGTAACTTAATATAGTATTAGTATCGTAAACAATAAAATAATAAAATAACTTAACTAGCCCTAACCTAGGCTATAGATATTTATTTATAAGTTTACGGGACTAGACCTTTAAAAGGGAGACCTAATATTACGACCTAATATATATAACTAAAACTAGGGCCTGCCCCATAGGCCTACGGTAGCTACGATACGCTATATATATATAAGGACGCTAATATAAGAGTCACCCTAATAGAATAAAAGAACTATAAATAAAGTTACGTAATAATAAGAAGGACTAACGGATAATAAGTAGTTTATAAATAGGACTAATAAAATAAAGATAGTCTACCCTATAGGACTAATATCGTAATATCGGTCCTAATTATAAAAGAACTATTTAGATAGTATACGGGACTTATATATAGTATAGACTTAAGCCGGGCTTAAGGATAGACTTCCTATAGCTTCTTTAGTAATTAACTTAGTATTAAATCTTATAATCGTTTTTAGCTATTTTTACTAAGAACCCCTTTTAATAAGACTATAATTAATTACCGAAGCCTTACTTATTTTATAACTTATAAATATAGCTTTAGAAAAGCTATCTAGGACTACGATACTATTTACTTAATATTCGTAGCCTTAACTTCTACTAATATACTTACTACGACTAGCTAACCGTAACAAATAGGTCCCCCCCTTTAGGGCTTAATAAATTCTTAAGCCCCCTCGACGCCCTAACTATCGTAACTAACATAAGTATACTTAAAAAATAATATAATACTTTTTAATAATATAAAATCTAACTAAGTAATAATACGAACGTTATAAATAACCGGGCTAATATAGACGTTAAGATTTAGTATATCGATATTAGCTTAGAAATTATACTTTATAGAATTAAAAATCCCTTTAATACGGGCTATATTATAAATATAAAAGAATATATAAAGGGCCCCTTAACCCTTAATAAAAAGAAGTATATAATATAGGATTTAGCTATTTATATAGGTTAGTATTAAGAGGTCTTATATACGTTAAAATAAGTATAGCTTACCCTCTAAATAGGTAGTAAAAAGTCGGGAGCTATTTTAATTAGTAATTAGGTATAGAGCGCAATATACCTAGTTTTCCTTAATACGTAATATATAGTACGGCCCTAGCGGATTGCTCCGTCGGGGGGTCGCTCTAATTTATATTTAGATTAAAAAGTTTATAATATATATTTCTTAGTAGAGTAGCAACTAGTATCTATTTAAAGAGAAATAAATAAATAAGTTTTAATATAAAGGTTTCATATTTATAATACTACGAGCTCGTTATATAGATTTTAAGTATATTAAGTTTATTATTATTAATATAATATAAACTTTTAAGAAATCTTAATACTTTTATATATTAATAAGATCTTAATATTATTAAAATATAAATAAAATAAGTTTAATAAAAAGAAGTAATAAAGACTATTTAATACTAAGTAAGTTTAAAAAGAAATCTATTTATATTTAAATACTAAAGAATTATATTCAAACTTTTAAGTTAAAATTTATTTTTATAAGTAGCTACTACCTCTTATTATTAATTATTTTTTAAAAAGTAAATTATATAATAATAATAGTTCTATAAGAGATTAGACTATAAGTACTTAACTAGCGAGGCTATAATATAGATATAAGTATATTATAAGACTAAAGCTTATAAAGTCTTTTAATAAAGCTTTATTTTATAAAAAGTTCTTATAAAATATATTTATATGCCCCAGTTACTAACTTATTAATAACTTATTATTAAATATATTCTAAATTTATTATAATTACTCCTCTTTTATATAATTTTAGTCCCTAAAGTTAATACGTAATATATTCTTTTAATAATAATAATATTATTATTAAAGTTATTATTTATGATAGTTTTTTTTAAAAATATTAAATAAAGTACTTTTTTATAATAAAGTATTTTATTTATATTATTATTTTATTTATTTATATTTTCTACCTTTAGCAATTACTTAAGTAGTTCTTAATATTAATTATATAGAATTAATATATAATATTAATAAATACTCCTACTATTTCGATAGACTATTTTTTTTTAACTTTTTTCTTCTTTTTTAACTTTTCTTTTTATAAAGTTTTTAATAGATTATCAATAACAATATTAGACGCCTAACGCTACTATTTTATAAACTACTTACTTAGCTAAGTTTACTACCCCTCCTAATAGTAATAACTTATAACAGTAGTATTAGAGATACTCTCGTTACCGTTATTAAAAATAATATTAACTTTATATTTATTATATTTTAAACTTTACTTATATATATATATATATATATATATCCTCGTTACCTCGTTTTTTTTATTAAAATTAAAAGACGCTATTTCTTTTACTATTTATTATTATTATTATTATTATTATTATTATGATTATTATTATTATTATTATTATGATTATTATTATTATTATTATTATTATTATTATTATTATTATTATTACCTATCAAACTATCTATTTTAAAAATATTTAGAATATTAAAAAGCTAACTTATTAACTTATAAAAATACCTTAAGGGCTAGTAGTTCGATTCTATTAATATTATACTTAATAATCCTAATTTATAAGAAGATTATTTTAAAAAATATTAAGTAGCTATTATTAACTTAAAAATTAAAAAAAAAATATTTTTTTTATAAATATTACTATTATTAACGCATAGTTTATATAATATAGCTTTAATATATATCGCCGTCAATGATCTTAAACTTTATAAGAGGGAAAGTTAGAAAGGTAGAAAATCCAAAAAAATAGTCTATCGAGATAGTAAGAGTATGCACTAATACTATATATTAATACTATATAAACGATACTAAGAATTGCCCGAGCAGCTAGTAAAAGCAAAATACAAAGATAAATAGCTTTAATATACTTAATAAACTTAAAAATATTATTAATATTTTAATATTATTATAGTAAAATAGGAAATTTACAAAGATTAAAAAAAAAAATCTAAAGCTATTAAAAAAAGTAAAAGGTAGGGGTTAGTTTTTAGCTATTTAGAGAGCGATTAATATATTATAATAAGGTTTTTAATATTTTAAGTTTAGCTAATATTAATAATTAATAATAGCTATATTAGCTATAGCTAGTTATAGCTAGTTATTATTAAGTAATATAAAGTCTTATTAAAATACGTAATAAAAACTTAATATTAACTTTAATAAACTAGCTTACTTATAAAGGCGAAGATGGCCCTTAATAAGGCGGGCTAGACCCTAAAGGAATTATTATTTTATACATATTTTATTATTATTATTTAATAATAATATATTAACCGGTTACTAAGTTAATAATACGTATTTATAATAAAGTATTCTAATTATTATAATCTATAAGAGTCTATTTAACTTTATAATTATTATTATTATTAAGTTATTAAGTAAAATAAAGGACTTTTCTTTTCTTATTAATTATATATATATTTACTTTTTTTCCTTTCTATTTAATAACCGTTTTATAAATTCTTTTTTATTTAATTACGGGGTTCTTTTTATAATATTTTAATTTCTATATTGTTTTTAATTATGCTTTTTTTATTTTATTATTATTAAGCGTTTATTAAAATATTTATTATTTTACGTATTTAGACCGTACTTAGTATTAAGTATAAGCCTAAAGAGGGCTTTTATAATCTTTATAATAGTACTCTTTACGTTTGCTATTTACTTAGTATATATTATAATATTAATAAGCTTAACGTATATAATAAGCGAGCTACTTAGATAAGCGAGCTACCTACCTAACCGCGACTATATTATATTTATAACTAAAAAGTAGTACTTAGAAAAGTAATTTAATTAAAACTATTTAGTATCCTCTTTTTTAAACATTTTTTTAGCAATTTAGTATATTTGCGTATTATAATTAGTATTCCCATAGACGCTATATCGTCGTTAACTTATTTTAGTCCTTAGCTAACAACTATTACTCCGATACGTTTCTTTCTTAATTTAGGTTATTACCTCTCTCTATAACTAAAGGTCTTCCCTATTAGTTATTATAAGACTTTTTTTTTATCTAAGACGTATTTTCTTAGCCTTCTTACGTTAGCTAAGTAGGTTATTCTCTTCTTAAAGGATCTAGTTCTCTAATTTTAATAAAGTAATTTAGTATATAAATCCTCGTACCCCCTTTAATAAATACTCTATAGCTTTAATAATCGAAGTTAGAGAGCTATATTAATAACGGGCGATTCGATTTTTAATAAGTTATAATTATAAAAATACTTTTATTAGGTTATTTAGTATTTAGGAAGTCTAGGCCGGTAGTATTATCGGGAGGGATCCTAGAGGTATCGGAGTGTATAACTTTACGTTAAGCTTAAATAGTATACTTTTTATATTTAAAAATATAAGCCCGGCCCCTCTAAATCCTCTTTAAATATTTTTTTTTATAATCGCTTATACGAATGCTTTATAAAACGTAGGGAAGAAGTCCTCCTTTATAATATAGGTATTACCCTATCGTATCTTTTTTTTAATTTCTTAGTTATATGCCGTTTTTAAAGGTCTAAAATATCTAATATCTAAGGGCTATAATAGATAAAATAAATAAGCTAGTATATAAAGGGTAACGATATTATTCTTTTTATAATATAATTTAAAGTCCGTAAAGTAGTAATTTTTATATCTATTGATAATAAAGAGGCGATATTGACCTTTTATACGTAGTTTTATATACTGTTTAAAGTATTTTACCTAATTTAGGCCTCTTTTATTTATTATTTATCCGTTTTTAGATATTACGATTACCTAATTGCGTAGTAAACTAGATTCCGTATACTAAGTAGAGAGGTAATAATACCCCATAACGATAATATATAGTAGAACGCTATAGCCCGACGAATTAATAGCCTAAATAACTATAACCTATTTATAATTACTAAGCTATATTATTTTTATATTTAAACGCCTTTTTATACTCGTAACGACTATTCTAAATATAATCTAGCTTATTATAAAGCTAGTTTTATTAAAGTTATAAATATTAGACTTTATGATACCGTATTTTATAATTATATTCGCTACGAGGCAAAACTACGTATTTATCGTATTTAGATCTTTATATTAAGCCCTTTTATAATCGTATTTATAAAAAAATCGTATCTAGAGCTATAATTAGTATTTAATAAAGTTAAAAGCCTAGTGCTTCTTAACGGGGGGCGCGTTATAGTTAGTAAGTAGTTAATTAGCTATATTTTCTATATTACTAAGGTAGGGAAGAAACGATCGGGAATCTAGGTTAAGAATATACTTAACTAGCTTCTCTTTTTTAAGTATAGTTAATTTTTATGAGTTTAGTATAATATCTTACCGTGCGGGTATGCTTTTTAAACGGGTACTTAAGGTCTTAAGAAGGACTAAGTAGATCTTAGTTACTACTCGAATACTTAGTTTTAGGGTTTTTTTAATAGCCTAGATCGCTAAGTTTAACTAAGCCTCTTTAGTTTATAATATTATAGTTATATTATAATGTTACATAAAGTAAAAAGTAGAAAATAAGATAGTCGCGGTCGGGTAGGTAGCTCGCTTATCTAAGTAGCTCGCTTATTATATACGTTATTTATATTATTAATTATTATATTATTAAATATATTATAATATACCCGCCGAGGCTTTATAGCTATATTTTTTATATATTATTTTTAATATCTTTACACTTAAATAAGTTATTTAAATACTCTTTAAATAGTATAATAATAACGTTATAATTATTTATAATTATAGTTTAAAAAGCTTAATCAATTCTTTTTATTTTATTAAACTAAATATTTATAATAAGAAAAATAAGTAATAAAATTAATAAAAAGCTTATAATTATAATAATTAATTTATACTTCGAAATACTAATAGTCCTCTCTAGCTTTTTACTTAACAGCCTTAGCTACTTACTTATAATACTATTTTTTAAAAATACTTTTTTAAAAATATATAAAGCTTAGTAAATTATAACTATTTATATTATAATAAAAGTTAAATTAAAAAAAAACTTTATTATAATAATTAATAATATAGTACTAGAACAGGATAGGGCAATTAGTCTTAGTAGTTCTTTTTTAAAGCTAATTAAGTAAAAAAAGATTATAAGAAGTCCGATCGGAGTAAGATATAAGAAGAAGGGCCCCGATTAGAAATAAATAACTTAATAGCGCGGGTTTTTATTTTAATTAGATATATACCTTTTTAAAATCAGAACTAAAGCTTTTTTACTAATTTATTTTTAAATATAATAATATAAGATAATTAAGAAGTTTACCTTTCTAATTTAGCTAATATTACCCTTAATTTATAGATATAACTCCTCTAATTAAGGCTATATTAAGCCGATTAAAAGAGGTATCTTATATTATTTTTATAAGTATTAGTAGTTCCTTAGAAGCACCGTACTATAAGAGTCCCTTATACCCTATACGTTTTTAGTACTTAATAATTATAAATTCCTAAGTTTTTATAAAGAAAATAATATTTATAAAAAGATTTTTGTATATATTATAATATTAATAATAATAATAATAGTTTAATTAAAATTAATTAGTTATAAATAGGTAAATAGTCTATCGAAATAGTAAGAGTATATACTAATACTATGTATTAATACTATATAATTGATATTAAGAACCGCCTAAGTAACTAGTAAAGGCAGAACATAAAATTAAATAAGTAAGTAAATAGAAATTTACTAAATTTAATTAATAATACGTAGTAAAAATAAAAGTAGAAATAGAAGTAGAAGTAAGTAAGTAGTAAAAAAATTTCTACTACTTATTAGTACTCGAGGCGGGCTATAGTAGCTAGTAGAAAATTTTAAATAGTGGTGTATAGTTAAAATAGCGGGTTTTTTTTAGTAGTTATCTACGAATATAGGGCATTGCTAAGATTCAGTTCCCTATTTCTATTGGCCCATTATGTAAGGTTAGCGATTCGGGGCTAGACTATAGGGCAGACCCCCCTGTCGATTGTCATAAGAGTGTCTGCCTATATATCGATTCTATCTCATCGCACTAAGCTAAAACTCTCTACTAGTCGATAGGTAATAAAGGGGTACTTACAGAAGAGAATGCTTACCCTCTTTGGCAGCCGGACAGGTTCACAATCACGACTGATAACGTGTTTGTACGGGTGGAGAGTTTTACTATCTAAACGCAGGGCTTTCATCGCGTTCCACCGCATGTCCCTAAGCAAATAGTCCTCAAATAATATGCTGATCAAGTGATGCTGACTGAGCCGTGTCGTCATGCGGGTCGAAGTAGAGTTTGCGATATCTAACAGCTAGATGGGCGAGGGTGGATGTGTGTCATTTTCTACACCACAACCCGACTCGTCGAAACGTAACCTCAGCTTGGTCTTTTGCGAAATAATCTACTTCGCTTTGAAATTGGGAAGATGATGACACTGCAGGCATGAGACCCTTGGTCGGGGCTGGAAAATAAATCGTTGCCGGGCGCGATAGTGAGTCGTGACGCTTCCTGATGTCTGCCCAAGAGAACTATTCAAGGTCCCATAGACTCGTCTAACTGAACCAGCGCAAATATTCTACCCAATACAACTAGGACGTCCATAATGCAAGGGCCGGTAGAGTACAGTCTCGATAATACAAAAGAGAAATACGAATACGCAATGCGAGCCTGCTCTAATCTCCTACATGTATTCCATAGAGACTACTCTATGGAGAATTCTAGAAAGATCAGCACAAATGGACTGCTATAGCACATTTGCGAAACCGAGCTGAATTTCTAGTAACGTTGTGGATTGTACGGAGATAGGGAGGTGAAAAAGGTCTACTCCGGATTTAATCGTAGATGCTGCGCTGTGATGTGAAGGGGCACGGGGCCTCAGGGGTGGCTTAGATATGCATCGACGCTCCACGCCTTCCCGAATGAAGTGGTAGGCGGAGTAAACCTTCACAGGGGCTTTCTGCCGTAAACCCAGACAGACGGGTCCGATTACAAGGCCGAAAGCGAACACTTCGGTTTTGGGATCGCGTGCATCAAGCGTTGATCGATGTCAAAGTCGAACAAGAAATCATCGCGATAAACAGCGCATATAAAGACAATGATGTGATTTGCGTTCGGCACTGCATTTCATCTGATTGTGATTCGACACATCAATTCTTGGCTCTTTTTCCAAGCATACACGATATTACTTTGAAGAAAAGCTTGACTTTGAAAAGCAATTATGGTCAGGGTGATCACTTTCCTGAAGGTTGCCGCCTTCGCGGGACTTGCTTCCGGCTCGGCGTGTTCAGGTCAGACGTTGGGTAACTTGCCTCACCCAATCGCCGTAAACGCTACCATCACCCCATTCACTGTCAACATCACCGATGATGCCATTGAAAACTTGAAGGCTCACTTGCGACTCTATCGCCCACCTCGTGACACTTACGAAAGTGTCAACGCTGGCTGGGAATTTGGTGTCCCCAAGGAATGGCTCGTTAATGCTACGGATCAATGGCTGAACAACTACGACTGGTAAGTAAAACCCGAGACACTCCCCCAACAAACAATATAGGGTACTTGGCAAAGGTGCGGGAAAATCAATTGACACATGGTTAGGCGAGCTGAGGAAGCAGTACTCAACTCCATTCCCCAGTACAAGGTTGGTCTTACGGATGACGACGGCGAGGCCTACTCGATTCACTTTGCCGGCCTCTTTTCCAACAAGAAAGATGCTATTCCCCTTGTTATGAGCCATGGCTTCCCAGGTATGTCGCACTTCACAGAAACGGGATATGAGTTGGCACACACACCTCCATGTAACCTCCAAGAACATGGGGCACAATGCCAGTCGGTTTGCCGTGGCTGTTCGCTGATGAAGAACGGCACATAGACTCATACCAACTGTTCATGCCATTCTTGCAAATGATCCAGGCAAAGTATGCAGACACACCAGACGATATGCCATACCACATCATCGTACCGTCTCTTGTCGGCACGGGATTCTCCTCGCCGCCACCATTGACCAAGCCCTTCTACACCACTGACATGGCGCGCATCATGAACAAGTTCATGGTGGCGCTGGGGTTCGGCGAGTCGGGCTACATCGCCCATGGCACTGACGTGAGCTCCATGATCGTGGAGTACATGCTTGAGGCATATGACGAGGTGAAAGGTCAGAACACTCTCCCCCCTTTAGCACCATGACTTCAAGATGATCCCTGAACGATCATCATTTTTGCCCCCCATGTTATGATTCCCTCTCCTCAGCAGTCAGAAGCTAATGCCGGACCACTGCAGCTGCTCACGCAACCCTGTGGTGGGGTCACCCTGATTACGATTCTACCACGCAACTTCCCGCGAATGAGATGGAAGTGAATGCCCTGAAGCGTTTGGCATCCACGACCTCCTGGGGCGTTGGAAACGTCGCTGTTCACAGGGACAGATCCAGCACGATCGGACATACCATTGGAAACAGTCCAATCTCGATCCTCACATGGTAAGCCTTGACCTGCTCATTGAGACTACTTTCAGTCGCTTTCGCGTTGTTGATCTCGCGCCTTACTAACTGCTCAAAGGGTCGGAGAGAGATACGTCCTCTGGGCAGACCCCAGCGCGCCAATCTCCATGACGAACCTGCTGACGGACGTCTCCCTGTACTGGTTCACCGAGACATACCCGACGTCGTACTGGTGCTACGCCCAGTTCAGGTCGAGCCTGAACGACTCCATCCCGACTGCCCCTAATTACACGGGCAAGCGACTTGCCTACTCGTGGTTCGCCAACGACGTGTCCTCCCCGCCCAGCGCCTACTTCAAGAATCACAGCGACATCTATACCGACTTCTACCAGCATGACAAGGTACGATCTCATCTATCCGAGGCTAGAGCTGCACATTTACTCGAGTTGATTGATGGTTGACTTTTTTTAATCTATTTAGGGTGGCCATTTCGTTCCCATGGAACAGCCCGAGGCACTCTGGGCGGACCTTACTGACTTCATTCCCAAAGTTTGGGCTCAGTAAAGTACTCTAAGCAGTCCAAAGTCATTTGTCTTCAAAACATTTCTTGCGACGGAACTGAGTGTTCAAACTCGATGGAGGTTGATTAGCTCGTTCCAGCACGACCGTCGTGGCGAAGGAGGCACAGATCCATTTTGTCAAAACAAAGACTTATTCTTCACTTCTCTTCTATTACATACTTTGGGTAATAAACAGCTCATATTTCATTTTGCCTCAGTCTGGCATCCTCTACCGATATCCATATTGCCTCATCCAGCTGTTGATGTTATTCTGCGCTTATCTGCCGAAGTCGACTTTGAAAATTTTGATGATGTAGGCTGAATAGAGACAGGATGGCTCTGTACGACCGATGACCTTGACGAAGGATCGACACCTGGGTTGAATTTTGATATTCTACTCGTCCGATTCTGCTTTCTCTTCTTCAAATTGGTCGCACACATTCACACAGTTGCAATGGTCCCCGGGAGCCCGATAACCAGACCACAAACGGTACCAATGATCTCATCGTTCCCAAGAGCCGCAGCTTTTCTCGGTGTCTAATAAATAATTAAATAATAATAAATAAAAATATTATAAAGATATATTCAGAACGAGATTTATATATAATACAAACTTAAGCCGGGCTTAAGGATAGACTTCTTATAGCTTTTTTAATAATTAATTTAGTATTAAATTTTATAATTATTTTTAACTATTTTTATTAAGAATCCTTTTTAATTAGACTATAATTAATTATTATAACCTTATTTATTTTATAATTTATAAATATAGTATTAGGGAAGCTATTTATAACTATAATATTATTTATTTAGTACTCGTAACCTTAACTTTTATTAATATACTTATTATAATTAGCTAGCTATAATAGTTCTATTACTTACGTAAGCTTATATAAGTAATATTATTTATATAATTAATATTTATAATAATCTATTAGAAACGTAAATTAATATAGTATATAGTTTGCTTACGTAATATTAATAATAAAGTAAATAATAAGGTAAGTAAAGTTACCTTTGTAATACTTTATAATAAATATAATTATAAAATATAGTATTATAGAGTTTAATATATATAACTTAACGAGACTAGCTTTATATTACGGCTAGCTAGTTATAATAAGTATATTAATAAAAGTTAAGGCTACGAGTACTAAGTAAATAGTATTATAGTTATAAATAGCTTCTTTAAAACTATATTTTTAAGTTATAAAATAAGTAAGGCTTTAATAATTAATCGTAGTCTTATTAAGAGGAGTTCTTAATAAAAATAGCTAAAAATAATTATAAAATTTAATACTAAGTTAATTATTAAAAAAACTATAAAAAGTCTATTTTTAAGCTTAGTTTAAGTTTATATTATATATAAGTTTTATTCTTAAATATATCCTTTATTTATATATTATTTTAACGGGCCCCGTATTTTCAATATATGGGCTTTATATTTTAAAACGACGGGGTTTATATTTTTAATATACGGACCTTCTTATTTCTTATTATTACGTAACTTATCTTATTATTTTTCCGTTTTATAAAAGTTACTTTATATTCCGTATTTTTATATATATAATATATTATAGCCGCTATAAGCTTACGGAGTAGGCCCTAGTCTTAGTTATATATATTAAGTCGTAATATTAAGTCTCTTTTTTAAAGGTCTAGTCCTATAAACTTATAAATAAGTTATTTATTCCTAAGTTAGGGACTCGTTAAGTATTTTTTTTTAAAATATATTAATATAATATTAAGTCGTATTAAAAAACGTTTATTAAATAATTCTATTTCTAAGCTTTATTTAGCTTATAACGACGTATTTAATCGCTTTAGTTTTAATAACGTAATACTTTATACTTAATATTTTTATATAAAACGTACGTATTATATAGTTAAGGGGGCGAAGACTTATTAAAATTATAAAAGTTTAAAGCGTCCTTATAATAATCTTATTATTACGTCGAGCTATAAATATTATTATAGTTTTTTTTATTTTATAATTATTAATATTTTTATAATAAAAAGGCTAAGTAATTAGCGTTAAGAACTAAAAAAAGAAAAAAAAAAAAAAAAAAAGGCTAGCGATATTTTATTTAATTTTTATATAAAACTTACTTAGATTTAGTTTAAAATCGTAAAAATAGCTAGTCGTTTAGCCTAGATTCGGACTATTTAAAAAAAAGTAAAAGAACGGTATATCGAGACTTTTATTTAAAATATATAAAAATTAAAAAAAAAAGATCGTATTCTTTTTATATTAAATACTTATAAGTAATAAGTAATAAACGATTTTTAAGTAGTAGGTATTTTTAACGATATTAATTAGACTTTTTTTAGGATTAATAACGAGTTCGCCTCTTTAGGGCCGTTAGTATTAGATACTAACGTTCTTAAGCGTTATAATAATCCTATAAGAGTTTTTAAGAATATTAGAAATTCGTAATAAGTTCTTATATATTTTTTTTATATCTATAGCCCTTTTATTTAATAAGGTATTCTTTTTTATTATTTTTTATTTTATAATTAATAATTCTTTTAACTTCGTATTCTAATTAGTTTAGTTTAATAATAATATAATTTTCTATATATAAACTTCTTAATATAGGCTCGAGTAATAGGATATAAAAAATAGGATAATATCGTATCGTATTTAATAATCTTAATTTATAATTAATTAATAAGACTTTTTTAATAATTTTAAAAGGTCTAAGCTTTTTATAATCTAATTTATTATTTAGTCGTTTTGTTTTAATATTATAATAAAAGAGGTAAGTACTACCCCCTTTTTTTTAAAAATAGTCCTTTAATTCTTAATTTATTTATATTCTTTTTTATATATTATTATACGAACTTAAGGTTTATTAATACTTATTTATAAATTTTTTTAAGTTTCTTTATATTTACTACGGCTTTTATAGCTTATAGTCCTTATCGTATTTCTTTATATATTATTAGCTAGAATTCGTAGTTAAAGTAAAACGGGGATTCTCTCGTACTTTTACTAACTATATTATTATATACGAACTAGGTTATTAATAAAAGTACTATTTAATTATTTTAGTTATAGTTTATATAATAATAAAGGTATATTTCGAAGATTTAGTTAATTCTTTTTATTTATCTATCGGTTTATAAATAAAATAATATCGATAGTTTATAATCTATACCGAGTTACGAAATTAGGGATTTTTAAAATTTTGAAGTAAATAGCTTATTTCTATTTAAAATAATTTCTTTTAATAAACCGTAATTCGAAAGTATAACTTTAGTAAATACGTATACTAAGTTTTTTATAATACTTAATTTTTTATAAAGAACGAAGTACGCGAACTTAATAAATTAGTTAATTATAATTAAAATACTATCGTATTATATTTTAATAAATAGTTCTCTAAACTTTAGTAGCTTAATAATAAAGTCCTATATAATTAAATACTATACTTTTATTAGTAATTATAATAGTTATAACTCGCTATAGGGTTTATATAAGCTATTTTTATTTTTTTTATAAGTTACGTAGTCCTTAATTACTTTTATAATTTTAGTATATATAACGGATTTATTATAATATTAATAAATCCGTTTTTATATTTTAATAACTCCTTAATAACCGTATACTAATATACTATAAATTTTTATAATAAGTTTAGGGGTTATTTTTTTAATTGGGCTAGTATTAATCTTTTTAGCTATTATAAAAAGTTTTATAATTAATATAAGGCTACTATCCTTCTCTTATTTAAAAATAACTTATATTCTTTTAGGGACCGCGACTTTATAATTAGGTCTTTTATTAAGAGCGTTTACCTTATTATTTTCTAAACTTTTTAAATAGATAATTTAGAAGTTAAATTTAGATAAAAACTCGCTTTATTTAACTTATTATTTATTTAGGTTCTTATTTATTATAAAGTTTATAAAGTTTTTATAGTTTATATAAACTATAACTTCGTATTTAGTTTTAAATAACTATAGTTTCTATTCTTAAAATACTTTAATAATTACTATTAGTTTCTTATTATAAATTTACTAATTTAATTCTATTTTATAAAATACTTTAAAATAGAAATAATATAAGTAAAGCTTTTTTTTTACTTATTTTATTATCTTAGAACTACTCTTATAGCGAAGTCCGAGGTATTAGTCTCGACTTTAAAAGGTTTTTAAAGGTCTAGGATTATAATAACTAGTTTAAAAACGACTATATTTTTAACTTTAATAAATACTTTTTTATACTTAGGGTCCTAAACAAATAGGTTATTTTTTTATATTAAATTATTAAGAGGTTTAATTATACTAATATAGTCCTTAAGGAATCGTTAATAAAAATTAACGAATCCTAAAAATCCTTATATATCCTTAACGTTCTATAATATAGACTAGTTTTTAATTATTTCTATTTTTAATACTTATATATAGATTTATCTTAGTATAATAATATATCTTAAGAAATCTACTTTTTATATATAGAACTCGTATTTAGAGGGTTTAGTATATAGCTTAGTATTTTAGAGCTTTTAAAATACTATATAAATATATTTCTTATATATTTTAAAATCGGGGGAGAAGATAAGGATATTATTAATATAAATAATAATAAAGATATTAATATATTCTTAGAGTACGTAGTTAATTATTATTTAAAAAGTTATTAGAGTATTAATAAGTTTAAAAGGTATAACGAGGTATTTAAAAAGTTCTTTACGAGTTTAAAATACTATTTTTTATTTATCTCCTTTTTTAATTTAAATCTAATTAAATACTTCTTTAAAATTTATAATAATAAACTAATTAGCTTTATAAAATAGATCTCTAAGCTTAGTAATAAGTAATAAGGGATAGTAATTCTTTTTTATAATTTCGTTAAGTCTCTTAAAGTTAATAATAGGTCTTTATTTTTTTATTCCTTTTTTTAATATAAAAAATAAAAGTAATTTTATAAGAGAATTCGATAGTTAAATAAGTCCTTTTTTAAATTTCTTATCGATATATTTATTAAAATATTCCTAC